AAGCATTGCTCAAAAAAGTGCTTGCTTTTGTGCTTTTATTAATTACACATTTACGGAACAAATTTGGTTATGTTAATCCTCTGTCTTATAAATGGCCTACATTTTCTCAGAGAAACATGTAATTGTGAAGAACCATGCCCCCCAAAATAACAAATGCTGTACAGGAGGAATTCCTTACATGCATTTTCCCTTATGACTTGTTATGGAAATATTTTTACTGCAAAGAAACATTTTTCTTGGACTACTTTCCAGAGTATCACATGGTGCTACACGGGTGTTTTATCTTCATATCAGCAATGGCAAAAGAAGTCAGTTTTTCTTTCTCAAGACACCTAAATCAGTCTTCTCAGAAAAGACACTCAACCAGGAGCTCAAATGAGATGCTCTGAAATGTCCAGCACTGAAGACAGTAGGTTAACTGGATGCTGGGATGGAAGAATTAACCTTTCTTTAGACCTTAGGTGTGTTTGGACTTGAGGATTTTAAAGTCAGGCTCCTTTATAAGTTCAGTTCATGGTAACACCGGGTGCTATCTTGATATAGTACATTCTTCAAACAAGGTCTGCATGGTGGAAGAGTCAAGTAAGAGTTGCCCTCTACACAGATTGAAAAAAAAGCCCAGATGGCTGGTGAAAATATCCTTCCACCTGCAAGTCTTGGGTTGCCTCTCACATTATCTGGTACGGGATGGGTTCCTGCAGTTTACGCTTCAAAAGAAATCCTCCCACCGTGAGAACAGCAGCTACCAGCACCACGATGGTCACAGCCAGAGGAACGTGGGAGCTGGCAGCAGGCGCTGAGCTCTGAGACTCCCCTTTCTCCTGGATGTCAGACGCCAGCTCTGTACATAAATGAGAAAAAGAAAGGCTTACATTTGTTTTCCTGAGCTAGATAATCTCAAAGGTAATTAAGCAAAGAGAACTTGAATTAAAATCTGCGTCTGATCAGAAACCAGATTTTTATCACACATTGTTTCACAAATGATTCTGTGGCCATGCCAAACAAGTAAAGATTATGACAAGAAATTAAAGAGCAAGTAAGATTTTGTAATGATTACACTCTAAGATGATGTTTTGTGATAGGGCAAACAGCAGCTACAGGACCCTGGGTAACAACATTTCCAAGGGGACCTACAGATTGGTTGCTGATAAATAAGAGACATGCCAATCAGGCACAGACAGCTTTGAAAAATTAATATCAATCCTGCAGGGAGATGAGTTATATCTCATCCTTCTTCCCACGGAACTGAATCAATTGCCGTTTGACATGTGCAGAACAAATAATGGATCTAAACTATGATAGAAAGGACATAGCTTGTAAACCTTACGAAACAATTTTATTAAAAAAAAAATTTAAAAATCCACATAAGAATTATAGCAGTTATTAAACTCACAAAAGTATATTTCAGAGCTGGATTGCATGTCTGAACTGACGTGGAAACATACAGTAATATACTTAGTCTTATGTTACTTAAAACTTACCAGTGTTCCTGTTTTTAGCATAAGTTTCCCAAAGCTGGACAGGCCCAATAACAACATTCATGTTTTCCTGGGAAGAGCCTGCATTCCTCTTCAACCTGCTCACACAGCCCTGGTAGCAGCGGGAAGAGTAGTCACCGTACCTGCACACCACCAGCTCACACTGCAGGTAAACTGACGGGTGTCGATTAAGAAACGAAAAAGCATTAAATGCAAACCGAGCAACGTTGCTGCCTGGCGAATAGTAAGAAGAGTAGGTAGGGTCCTTAACACACCTGGAAAGATATAAAATTAACAGATTAGGTGTTGTGAATAGAAACACTATTACACTATCTCCGTGCAACATTTCCAGTTTAAACGGAAATCCTGAAGGTAAAACTATAAAAGAACTCGGAAGGTTTTTTTTTTTAAAAGTGTGGTTTTGGCAAGAAGAGAACTAGAGACAAAAATAAGCAAGAGTGGCAGTGTTCTCTACCGCAATAATGTGTACAGCACAGAAATTTCATAGATCAACAAATTTCATGTAAAGATGAATAGCTGAAAAACGTCTAGTGGATCTGCTGGCTTCTGTGTTTCAGGTGAGGATCTGTTTTGTACACACAAAAGTGTTCGTGTTCAAGGCCAAGCTGGACAGGGCTTTGAGCAGTTTGGTCTAGTGGAAGGTGTCCTTGCCCTTGGCAGGGGGTTGGGACTCCAGCTTAGCTGTAGGTTACCCCACTGCTAAGGTTACTGACGTGAACACCCTCCCACGAGGCAGAGAAATTCAGATGCCACCGAGCACAGAAGCAAAATAAACTCGTATGAGTCTTTTATTCCTGGAACAAAATGGGACACTGAGAGCTGCACTTTTATGCTCCTAGCTCCCTGTCTCTTTTGTATTCTTTACAAGAGTCCACAACTTTTCCATTTCAAACCAAAAGGCGCATTTTGTATCAAATTAAGCAAAATGTTTTAGATTGCTAGAATAGCAACGAAAGGCTAAGGATTTTCTCTTCTTTTTGAACAGACTGTTTTGGATTCTAGTTGTGATGATGCAAAACTCTAATTCTGATGCACTGAAAGGTAGAGCCATTGACATCCCTATATTTCATGCATCTAATTCAGAAAGAAATGCAGACCTGCGATTCTACACTGCCTTCTTGAATAAAATATCAGTGTTTGACTGCAACTTCTGAATGGCATTTCTCTGTCATATTATCTTTTATTCAGGCTTTACCAGAAGGTCTTTCACAGAAATGTATTTGTATCGAGAATTGCAACCAACATCTGCTGGCCTTAAATCACCTAAATTAAGCTTTCAGAACTATGCATACAGATACTTTTAAAGTAATTCTTTAGAAAGTTCTTACCCACTTCTGATCAATTCATAAGTCAGTGTTCTAAAATTGGTAGGATCAGGTGATGCCACGCATGTGTCCACAAACACCACCAGGTTCGGGTCAGAGCTGTGAAGAGAAGCCTGAAGGTACAAATTCTGATTCAGGTCCACGTAGTATGGAAAGTCATCCACTGGCCACAGGAAAGATGAGGAATTGTAGAATGTCAAGTTCACGTCGTATCTGCCGTACTGGGTTTCGCTGACATCAGTGACGTTATCAGCAATGTACATTACTTGTACCCAGGTGTCCTGGAGCATTTTGCAGTTGATATGCAAATAAAGGTCTTTTTGCCTCTTGATGATGTAACCAGAAGCAGGCACTTTTATCACATTGGAGTAGGTGATCGTTTCATTGTTGCTCTATTTGACACATGAGATGAGTACAAAATTATCACATGTAGACATGATCACAGGGTGTACTATGAACTTCTGTATACGTCAGATCCTAGTATTAGTCAGACAGAACATGTCATACTCAAAAATCCCAAGCATCCTGGATGGGATTATTTGCTTAACCCTCTCCTATACTTTGTTCTCTTGTACATCACTCTGAAATAGTTACAGGGATTACCTAAACCCTAGGAAGGATAAGTAAGAACGTTTAACAAACTTTAGCCTCCAGAAATACATGTCTCTCTTCTGTGTTTTGAATACATGTGGGCTACAACACTCTTTGCGATTCATGACAATTTTCTAAATGTCTGTTAAATTTCCATGCCCAGACATGGAGGGCCCTTGAAAATATGTTGACACCAACCTGTCTACGTGTACCACAGCCGTTGTATGGAACGTCGAATATAACCTCGGTTGAGGTAATTGTTGGTCTACAAGAGTCAGACAAGCTGATTCCCCACACCGAGTAGCCCTGTGACTGGAGATAGCTTCTGTTTAAAACTGCGCGCATGCAGGTTGGCAAGCACACAAGGGCTAGAGAAGAAAATATGAATTATTAGTGATTTCAGGTACTTGATAATGCTTGCATGTTTTGCATGTTACAACTTCAACAAATGTAATAGCTTCTACATTTGAAGTGAGAGAATTAATAAGCCAAACCAGTTATTTTTATACCTTAGACTTAGATATGAATAAGCAATAATCTCTGACAAACTTCAGCTGACCTTTGGTTACTCTCCCAACAAAAATATATAGCATACAACAGGCTTTTGCTGAGGCCTTGAGCCTGTATCACTCCTCACACAAAAATGCTAAGTGGGAGTTTTGCCTGAATAAGAATCCAAAAGCTGTTGGGAAAGGTGTAGAGGTAAGCATGCACCCTGGCTTGCAGAAACATTACTTGGGTGGGAGGGGATCCTGAAACCAATCTCCATGATGGTTCACTGAGTCCATGACATAGAAAGCAATGATCCCAGGGAGAGTTTGGTCTTTGATAAAGAGAGATATCTGATGATGGAGACCTTCTAGCAACACACAGCCTCTTGAAAGGCAGTTACAAAAACAAAAGACCCAAATGTGATGACCACTGTTTGTGCCTGAGGAGGTTGTGAGTGCGTATTAGATAAACTTTCCCATTGAGATGGCAGGACAGTACTGGAACAGGTCACTCAGAGAAGTGGCTTTGAAGATTTAATCCTTTGAATGTTTCTAGAGACTCAGCAAGACAAATTCATAATGGACCTGACCTGGTGTTTGTTATACCTCTGCTTCAAATAGTTGGGCTAGGAAGCCTCCAAAGGTCCTTTCTAACCAATGATTTGATGAAAATCTCTCCACAAAGGTAGAAAAAATACATGTCAATGATATGATAAGAAGAAATATTAATTTAGACTGCCTATTGTAGAAAAACTCTAAAGGCAATTAATTTAATACTTGAAGATTTTTTTTTAATTAAAACATTATTACTGTCTGAAAGTGATTGGTCAATAATCAGTTATGATATTCAAGTAGGAATGTAATCTCTGGGATTTCATCAACAACATTAACAAATACTTATTTAGCAAATAAAATCAGGATAGAATCATAGAGTCATAGAATGATTTTGGCTGGAAGGAACATTAAAAAATACCTAGTCCCACCCCCCTGCCCCGGGCAGGGCCACCTTCCACCAGCCCAGGTTGCCCAAAGCCCCGTCCAACCTGGCCTTGGACCCTTCCAGGGAGGGGGCAGCCACAGCTTCTCTGGGCAACCTGTGCCAGGGCCTCATCACCCTCACAGGGAAGAATTTCTTCCTTAATCTCAACTAAATCTCCCCTCTGTCAGTTTAAAGCCATTACCCCTCATCTTATCCCTACACCCCCGATCAAGAGTCCCTCCCCCTTTTCCTGCAGCCCCTTTCAGCCCTGGGAGGCCGCTCTAAGGTCTCCCCGCAGCCTTCTCTTCTCCAGCTGAACCCCCCAACTCTCTCAGCCTGTCCTCACAGGGGGGGCTCCAGCCCCCCCAGCATCTCCGTGGCCTCCTCTGGCCCCGCTGGAGCAGGTCCGTGTCCTTCTGCTGTTGGTGCCCCAGAGCTGGACCCAGCCCTGCAGGGAAGGGTCTCTTCCTGCAGAGTAGAGGGGGAAAATCCCTCTCCCTCGGCCTGCTGGCCACATTTCTCTTGATGCAGCCCAGAAGGCCAACTGTATCCTGGGCTACATTGCTGCGTCATACTGAATTTCTCCACAAGCAACACCCCTAAGTCCTTCTCCTTGGGGCTGCTCTCCAGCCACTCCTCGCCCAGCCTGGATTTGTGCTGGGGATTGCCCCGACCCATGGGCAGGACCTTGCCCTTGGCCTTGTCGAACTCCATGGGGTTTGCATGTCCCACCTCTCCAGCCTGTCCAGGTCCCTCTGGATGGCACATCCCTTCCCTCCAGCGTGTCACCGCACCACACAGCTCGGGGTCGTTGGTGAACTTGCTGAGGGTGCCTCGATCCCACTGTCCATGTCACCAAGGATGTTAAACAGCGCCGGTCCCAACACCCACCCCTGAGGAATGTCACTCGTCTCTGCTCTCCACTGGACATCAATCTGTTGAGTTGTCTCTTTGAGTGTGACCATCCAGCCAATTCTTTACCCACCGTATGCTTCATCCCTCAAGTCCATGTCTCTCCAATTTAGAGACAAGGATGTCATGTGGGACAGTGATAAATGCTTTGCACAAGTCCCAGTAGATGATGTCAGTTACTCTTTCCTTATCCACCAATGCTGTAACGCCACAGAAGAAGGTCACCAAATTTGTCAGGCATGATTTGCCCTTAGTGAAGCCATGTTGCTGACATAAAAGTTTCTGAGAAAAGAAAACATTACAAACAGGATAGAAATTTACCGGTGTTCTGGTCTGCTGGGAAGGACTGATACACAGCATGAAATCCTCTACTGAAATATCTGGAGTCACTGTGAAATCTAACAGTCATAAAGTTTGAGGATGATGTGTATGTGAGATGAGAATTAGAGCAAATTCTTCCAAGCAGAGGAGAAGTCTTGGGTGGCCCATCGAAGATCTCAATATAGTCATTGTTACATCCACCTTGCAACCTGAGGAAGAAACATGAATATATTATAAAATGCTTTTGGTAAACATTGCTTTTAAGTGCTGAATAACACTAAAATAAGATACTGCATTCACACAATTCCCATGTAAATTTATAAATCACTTATAAACATGGGAAATGTGTTTGGAAACTGTGGTAGCTGGGATGTGAGGCCCATTTATTGCCCAGGCAGGATGTGGGTTACTTACTGAATACTTCTGAATGTGAGCATAATGCGGAAATTATTCATTACTTGTATTTGCCACAAACAATCTGCATTATCCGGATAATTTAAAGGATAAGAAGGACTCTGAATTGTTCCAGAGGAATTAAAAAGTAAGCCACCACAAATATATTTTATAGCTGAAAAAAAAAAAAGGCAAATAAGATATAGATGTCTTTCATTTAAATTCAAATGAAAATACATTTTCTATTTACAAGGCATACCAACAAGACTCTAAATCACAAGACAACCTGAACTGCTCTGCTCTTCTCACCCAGGCTACAACTGTGATGATCTCCTCAGAGGATTCTGACTCTCCCTTACAATTTTGCATTTCATAGGCTTAAGGCATAGGCATTTATGAGAGAAAGCAAGAGATGCTGGCCCAAATAACTTAAAAGGTAGACAAGAAAGAAAAGATGACTTGCCACAAAACAACATGGTTTGAAATCGACCACCAGCAATAGAACTCAATGACATAAAGGACCAGTATGTAGGATTTAAAAAACTAGAACCAGTAATAAACTTTAACAAAAATATTAAAATATGTAAATGATAAAATTCTAATCTAGATATTACTAACTAATACATATTAAAAGAAAGTCACTGAACAGATGAAAAAAGCAGACGCACCAGGAGTGCTAGATGCTGGAGTTGGAACAGTAGTCGTGCTTGTGGCATCTGTAGGGGAGGAAGAGAAAGGAGAAGTGAGGCCTGTGTGGATGAAGGAGCATGGTCAGGTTTTCTCACACCACTGTGGATGTTGCTGCCACCCTGACACAAGAGTGATCAGAGACTGGATAGTTCAGAAGGGTGATCCTCCACAGTGGCAGCAATGCAGACCATGGTCTATCAACACCCCTCCAACACTTACCAAGTTGCGGCCAACAACGGACAACATTTGGAAAGTCTCCAAGAATGAGGAAGAAAAACAATAGTACCTGAGCACACAACACCAGCATCTTCTTTGTGGCCACAGTCATGGACACCCCATCCACGGTGGCGGCACTGGAAGAGGGAGGACTCACTCCCTGTGCACTGCACATCGTCCAGGTAGATACTGCCAGTGCCTTGCCCGAAGCGGGCACTTGTTGGTGCAGAAACAGCAGAGCCGCATCCCAGCTCCCTGCACACGACCTCGGCGTCCTGCAGGTCCCAGTTGTCATCACAGACAGTGCCCCGGCCCCCATAGTGGTAAATCTCTACACGGCCCTCGCACCGGTTCCTGCCATTGACCAGGGTCACGTAGGCACCTGGGAAAGGAGGAAAGAGGGAATAAGGGGGAAAACCCTGCAGCACGCGGGCACCTTCTCTCGCCGGAGCCTTGGACATGCTCTGTGAGTTCCAGAGCAACAGGAGTGGCACCCTCAGCTTAATTCGACTGGACGTGTGCCTGGCCCTGCTCTCGCAGCAAGAGCAACAAATGCACCCAGGGAGACACTAATGGTGTTGTCAGAAGTAGAGTTCAGAAAAAACAGGAAAAATTATGACCCACCTGGAGGAGCGGACATTGTGATGGTGGCTTGGGTCGTGCTTGTGGCATCTGTAGAGGCTGAAGAAAAAAGAGCAAGTTAGGGCCATTTGGATAAAGATCATGGCCAGGTTCTCTCACACCACTGCCAATGTTGCTGCCAGCGTTATACAGGGGTTGTGAGAGCTTGGCTGTGCTCCTTCTTTGTGGGGTAATTTAAACCACAGCCCTTGAACCTGTGTCAAAAATACGTTTTCTTCAGGCATACAGGTGCCCATTTCTTGTTTGCCCATAAATACGGTCAAAGGAAGCAGTGGAGGCAACTCTTTTACAAATTAATTACGAAATAGTGGCGACGAACTTACTTCTGAGGAGACATACCTCACAATGGCTCGATACACATAAAAGCTAGAAACAGATAGAACTGTGAGGAAATCTGTCATCTAGCAAACTGATTTTTCATACATGCATGTTTGGATTAACCTTCTGTCAGACTAAGACAATAGTTTGGATTGTTGACTAATATTTGAATTATCTGTGGTAATTCTCAGAGTGTATTTGCTGGCAATAATGGACAGAAGTTATGGAAAGTAAGTAAACCAAGAATTGCAGATACTTATTGTCGCCATAAAAAGAAATAGTCAGAGTTTACAGAAAAATTGTACTAAGCGAGAGTAATGTAGAATATTTGTGGTATTTCATTAGCAACTCTAATTTGAAATACCCACAGTATTTTAATTGTTGAACACATTTATCTGCAGTTGTGGGTTTTTTTTCTGTAAATTTAAATGTGTAGTGAAAACCACAGAAAACATGAATAAAGAAAACTTGCATATTTCATACCTAATAGGAAAAATATATTCATGATTTTCCCCTAAAATGAAGTATTAAAATGCTTAGCCATAATTCATGGCTGAAAAAAGCATTTTTGAACTGTTGTGTACTTCTCAAGGCTTTTTCATTTTGAGTAGCACACACAAAATACTTGGTAATTCCCACACATTCAAAAAGTGACTCGATACGTTGACACAGATATCAGACTTTAAGGTAAAATGAACAGCAAATAGCAATCACCGTATAAACTCCTCCTTCTCTTCCAGTCCGGGTCATGTAAACTCTTTGGAAAGCCAGGGTAACTTTCGTTAAGTAATGGCTTGTGCATTCTTTAATACTGTACAGCCTGATTTAAAACAAACAAGACACCCTGATGTTCCCTTCATCCCTCCCCAAATGAAGTGATTTTCTTTAAGAAGTGATGTATAAAGCCATGGGTTTGAGACACACTGTTAAGTTTATATAAGACATAGTTTATTCAAATCATCCCTCATCTGAATAATACTCTGTAATGCATTGTGGATATGTGTCAGGTTGCCTACAAAAATTTCCGACTCTGGCTTGATTTTAGTGCTACTTTTTGGGCTTCTTTGTTCTATTATTTTATTTATTTTTTTAAAATGTCTCAGGGATTCTAATTTCCTTGTTTTAATTACTGTTTCTCTGTTTTCTGTTGTTATAATTCAAGCATTTTGTGCTGCCTTTTCGAAAGCAGTGGGCAAAATAAGCAACACACACTACATCCCTCATATATCCCCAGATCTTACTTATCGCTGCAAAGAACAGTGAACAGAAAGGTGTCCCAGTCAGAAGAAATTCCTAGCAGGAGCACAACACCTCAGATCTCTTCTCTGAAAGAGGAATAAAAGTTACACCTTTTTTTTTTTTTTTTTTTTTTTTTGACTTTGTGATACCATACAGGATAGCAACTCTGTCATACTATTGTGCTTCCATTAAGCTGTATACAGTTAAATCAGTACTGGGTGGTTCCATGTGCATCTGCAAGATTGAAGTCTTTTAAAGCCAAAGATACTATATTCCCTCTATTCCATACTAAAAACGCAAGTTTTATAAGAACAAAGTATTTCAGCAGTATTTTCACGGTAGTTGTTTGGGTTTTTTTAATTTGGTTTAAACCATGCTACAAGACACTGCTGCAAAACAGAGCAATACTAATTTCATTGCATTAATTTTACTTCAACACGAGTAATAGTTAATAATGACATTGACTGGTTCATATTTTTCATAAGACAACATGGAGTTCTTCAATTTCAGTCTGTCTTCTAATCTTTGCACGAAATTCATCCTACTAGCATGTGAGCTACGTGTATGGAACCAGTGTAGAGGAGTAGGACGCCCCTTTTTCCTACCTTTTTCTGAAGAATATTCGTTAAGGGTTGTAAATGATTTATCTGAGGTGGCATCCAGGAGTGCTGCATTTAACAGGAATAACCACAGCAAGTTCTTGGTGGTACCCATCTTGTCAAGAGATGACAATAAAGCAGGGCATGAGAATTTATACTCTGCACCTGTAAAAGAGCGAGGCTCCCAAGGTCACTCTGGCCCATGATATATCTGATTTCTTAGGCAATATTTTTATGACTACCTGATCTTTACATAATGATTATATGCGAATGGTAAAGTTGCCACTTCCTGGATAATTTGTGCTACCGCTCTTATTATAAATTATCTTAACTGTGTGTGCAGGCCCAGCGTTACCTTTGGAACCAGACCAGTAAATCTACATGTTTCTTTGCACCCACCATCCCAATTTTATTTATTTACTGCTTGTAGCTAATGACTTAATTAAGCAGGCTTAATGCATTGCAAGGTGAGGCAGCAGATTTGTAGCAAGCTTTCTGATAAATCCTTCAGCAGAGAATCCTGGTCTCATAAATGTTTGTATTTCTGATGGTTTCCCCCTTGAAACTACAGGCTTATTTCTCTGTTGCTTGTACACAAACAGCACATCATAAATGGGATTCTGTCAGGTATCAAAAGTCAATTAACACCCGTTATTTGTAACATACCCTAAATGGAACTCATCTAAACTCAACTAAATGGAACTCATCTGGGGGCCTCTGTTGAGCTTGCTCTGCTTTACCAATGTCTTCCCTCAATCTACTGCTATGCTCCTTAGCTGAATTTGCCAACAAGGCTTCCTTCAATCCTTTGAATCACAAGGTTTATAAAAAGGGAAAGAATTATAGGTTGAAGTAAAATCAAAAGTCTTGTTGAACTGATTTCCTCAGTTGGTCTACGTGAAGTCTTAATGGAATTACTGATCGCTTAGGGCACAACAACCCATAATCCTGTCCTGCTAATCTGTTTGCTGCAGTCACCATATTCTATTTCTGCTGTTTCTCCTCATCTGATGAGGGCAAATACCGGCCAGCTAGAAACAGGCCAATTGTAATATTCTGTTCGTTACACTTCATCCAGACTGTACCTATCTGTTCATTTTGGCTACGACACAAATGCCAACCGAACCACAATAGCTGACATAACTCATGATTCCTGCTGGTATAATGCAACCTTCCTCCTGCAGAAAAGCACAGTTTGAGTCCGCAGAAAAAGGGAATAAAGAGTCCTCTTTCTGCAAAGGTTCACAGCACTAGAACACAAGAAGGAAAGACAAAAGGCCAGAGTCCAGAAACAGAATCAGAAACTGTCAAAGCAGTCGCTGAGAAAAGCAAACAAACTGGAGGACAATGGTAAATACAACTGATTGTATTCATATGTTAATAAAGAAATGTAATCCTGAACATTGCTATTCACAGCTCTACTGTTCCTGACTTCCTGACAAAAGCAAAAACAATGCCATGTGCTCAGTGGAGTGAACACACAGTGTCACTGGGGAAGGGCTATGAGGGCATAATCCTGTCTCTAAATTCTTGAAAAATAAAACCTTTGTACAGACCAAGGAGCCCAAGCAGCTGGAAAGCAGTTTTGGAGGAAAGGACCTGTGAGCCCTGGTGAACAAACTGACCATGAGCCAGCGATGTCCCCTTGCAGTAAGGTGGCCCGTGGCATCCTGGTGTTACGTTCAGAGAAGCATTGCCAGCAGGTCAAAGGAGGTGATTCTCCCCTTCTACTCAGCACTGGTGAGAGACTCCTGGGGTGCAGGTTCCAGCTCTGGACTCCCCAGTACAAGAGAGACATGGACATACGAGAGCAAGTCTAGCAAAGGGCCACTGAGACGATTTAGAGACTGGAGCATCTCTCATATGAGGAGAGGCCCAGAGAAGAGAAGCCTCAGTGGGATCTCATCAGTGTGGACAAATACCTGATGGCATGGAGTAAAGACACAGCTGGGCTCTTCTCGGTGGTGCCCGGTGGCAGGATGAGAAGCAATGGGCATGAAATGAAGTACAGTAAATTCCATTTATACATAAAAAAGAATTTCACTGTGAGGGTGGTCAAGCAGTGGAATAGGTTGGCCAGCAAGGTTATAGATTCCTCCATTCTTCAAGATATTCAAACCCAGCTGCACTCAGTCCTGAGCAACCTTTTTTCTCTGACCCTGCTTTGGGCAAGGGGAAAGACCAGGGGATCTCCAGATCATCCAGCCTTGTTTGGTCTGTGACACTGTGAAGAGAAAACCTATGGATGATGTCAAGGATATTCAAGAACAGAGGACTACATGTGCTGTGGTTAAATTTATCCTTAACAATTAAATCTGCTAGCACGGTTCTTTAACACAAAATTGGCTGTCAGAGTTCTTGCCAGGCCTCACCAGTTCCAGCTTACTGGTGCATTTCTGACATTTGCAGTAAATGTCCTTTAACTTATATTAGGACCTATGTCTTCAGGTTTGATAACAGGAACCTTTGATTTGCAGCTGCTAAATCGCCAGAGTCCTTTGTACAAAATACGCCTTAGATTAGCTCTCTTTTCCATTGCACATACATTAAATCAGCAGGAAGTCTGCTGCAAAATGAAGTGCCA